GTGAGAGAATTTAGAGTAGAAGTGTCTTGATTATCAGAAGGAGGAGGATTTTCATTAGGTTTATCTTCTTCGGGTAGTGGGTTATCTTTAAATGCTCATTTTCATTTTTGCCGAATGTCCGTTTGAGTTTTAATTATTTCTGGCTGATTAGGGGAAGTATCAGTAGTAAATTTGTCTTGGAGCTGTTTAATTTCTTGTAAATCATTTTTGCTCTTATCCAATGATTCTTGTCATTTTTGTTGAACACCTTGATAATTAGGAGTAGAAGGATTAGGAGGATTAGATTCTAGTTCCGAAATAGATTTGGTAAGTTCATCATGAATAGTCTTTAAGTCATCCAGTAAACCTTGATAAGTAGAATTAGGAAAGTTAGGTTTTTTGGTTGGATTATTAGGTTTTTTTTCTTTCGGTTCTTCGGATATTCCTAACTCTTGATTAATTTCTTTAATTTTTTGCTGTAATTCTTGAATAGTTTTTTCCCGCTCTTGGGAATTTTGTTGAGGAAGATTTTTTAGTTGGTTTTCTATGTCAGATAGTTGGACTGAATACTTAACTTTTTTGCTAGCATTCTCTGGCTTATTAAGGGTTTGTTTAATTTGGGATAACTGGTTTTGGAATTGTTGAGTTTTTTCCTGTGTTTGGCTTTTAGTTTCGGTTTTATTTTCTTTATTTTTCGGTCAGGCAAAGTAAGTAATAGTTCCGATACTTGCTACTGCTATTACTCCAATTATTCAGACTAAATTACTGTTTTTTTTTTTTTTTTGCTGATTTCTAATTCTGTCATATTTTTAATAGGTTAATTTATCTAATAAATACTGGTCAAACACTTATTAGATAAGGGGGAAGCCTCAGCCTCCCCAACTCTTTTTACTTAATAATCTCTCCTTTTTGGCCTTTATCTTTATCATCTTCCTTTTTTTGAGAACTTTCTCACCATCAACCAATCAGAAAACCAGCGGCAATTATGGCTAATCCTACTAAGTTTTTAATTACTAAGTGTTCACCTTCGACATAACCTCCCATGGGAAGACCAACTATTATACTTATTATTAGGCCTGCTAAGAGACCTCATCATTTATTGAATTTCATATCTTTTTACTCCGTAAAAATATACGGATAAATCATTGTTTTTATTCATATTATTTTTCTTAATTTTACTAGTTTAATTTTGTTGGCTAAAAGAGAAAGTGAGACAGAATTTTTTGCCACATTGGAAACAAGTTTTTCATCTTTTTGTGGGGTAACCATCTTTGTCTATTGGTTTTTCTTTTGTGCTTCTAACTTTGCTTTTGGTTTTCATATTCACTTATGCCATTTTTGATGTTAAAATCGGTCAGTTTTTATGAGCATTGTAATAATTACGTTAACGTTTGTTAGATAATAGTTTTTTCTGTAAACTACTTAGTCTTCTAATCTTTGATTTTTAAAACTTGTTAACTGGTTGCTTTTTTGTACTTATTCATAGTTTTTTCGAAGTTAGTTCCATTAATCAACTCGATTAAGCTTAGCAAAAGGAGAGACAAAATGGTTTTGATTTGCTTTTTTTCTGATTCGTTTAATTTTCCCAAAACTCAATTGTGGAGCGTAAATTGCCTATCAAAATCAATCCCAATCCGCAATCTTTTAAAGTATTTAGTTCCTAAACATTCAATAATATTTTTTACGCCATTATGTCCACCCGCTGAACCTTGGAGACGATAACGAAAACTTCCCAGTGGTAAAGCAATATCATCATAAATTACTAATAAATTATCTACCGGAACACGAAAATAGTTAAGAAAAGCTGCAACACACTCACCCGAATTATTCATATAAGTTTGGGGTTTGAGTAAAATATATTCTTGGTTTTGATAATACAAACCATTGAACTTTTGCTTACTTAGTTCAACCCCTAATTGTTGGGCTAAATTATCAATAACTAAAAATCCAAGGTTATGCCGAGTATTTTCGTATTCTGATCCAGGATTACCTAAACCAACAATTAATTTCATATTTTAGAACTTACCAGCTAGAGCTGGGTCCTTTTTAATAATTTCCAAGGCTTCTTTTTTACTTTCACAAACGATAGTAGAAGGGACCTTTGTTTCCAAAAAAATTACGTTAGTTGCTTTGCCTCAAATTGATTTATTAAGAAAATTATAATCAATTTTGCTATTTTTTTCAAAGATAATATAATCTTGTTTTTTATCAATTCTCTCATCTAATTTCTTATTTCATTCATCAGAGGCTCCTAAGCCTTTTTTATCCTCAAAAACTACAATATTTTTATTTCCTACTGCTCCGTGAAAAGTGGCTAATTTAGTCAAGTGCTTTGCTAAAAACGAGTTAACTACTCGTCCGTTTTTATATTCTTGTCCTGCTACGTTAATTTTTTCTTTTGTCAATTCTCCTAAATTAAACACGAAATATTTTTTTAACTCTAATCTTTTTTCTAATAAGTATTTTTCTAAATCTTGTTCGCTTAACTTTTCTGGGGGAGGCAACGGAGGTCTATCCGGATTTTTAGCTGGTGAAGTATTATCTGCTTTTTTTCCTACTAATTGGTAAGCAATTAAGCCAATAATAATTATGATAATTATCCCCCCTATGATATATAAAAATGTTTTGTTACTATTTTTCTTTCGCATAATATTTTTTTTCTAAAATGGTGCTCCGGGAAGGATTTGAACCTCCGACCACTTGTTTAGGAAACGAGTATTCTAGTCCACTGAATTACCGGAGCATATAAGTTAATTTAACCTCTTTTATAAATCATTGAAAATATTACGGCTAAAATGATAAAAAAAGCAATGCCAACAAAAAAAATAACAAATATGATTCGGAGCCTTTTTTCTTGCTCTTGCTCCTTATTTCGCACACTTGCGACAAAATATTCCGCTCTTACCTCCCCCACCTCCTCATCAACCAGCTTGTCAATAAATGCTACTACTTCCTCTTTTAACTTCCTCTCCTTCGGGTATTTTTTTATAGCATCTACTACATAGCATATAGCATATTTAAAAGAGGCAATTATATACAACTTTGCAGTAAGTATTAACTAGTTGCTTTTTGTTTTCTCTCCTCTTGTTCTTTTTTTAATCTTGCTTTTAAGTCTTTAAGTCGTAATGGTGGAGTTTTAAGACAAGTGATTAATAAATTGTCAAATTCTTCTTTGCTTACTGGTCTATTATTGACATCCTCAAAATCAGTGCCTTTATGCTGAGATAGATGGTTAACAACATCCTTTAACATACTACTCATTTAGTTTCTGTTTCGAACTATCCAAAATGATAAAACTTATTAGCCTTTACTTCATAAACTAATAAACTTCAATGAAAGTCCGGATTATTAACCGGAATAAAGACCAATTCCTTACTAGCATTGGCTAACTCACTCAGCAAGCGAGCATTAGCCAGTGAGTCAGCATTACTTTTTAGTAAAGGGAATTCATAAACAGAAATAAAGGTGTGGTTTTTTTGGCATTCGTTAGCAATTTCTTGGTAAGCTCATTCTATTTCTCTATCATTTAGTCATTTACCGGGAGCGAAAGTAATGTCATTAAGGATTTCTAGTCTTTCGTTTATTTCTTTTTCTGATAATTGTTCTTGTGATTTAGGCATATTTTTTAAAATTTACAACAACTACTTGGTTTTTCAGCACATATAGCAAATTAGGTAGTGATTGATTTTGATATTATTCAACGCATTTATCCCTCCCTAATCATCAGTTACTAGACAGAACTTTCACCAAATTCCCTAAACTGCTGTTTCTAATCACAGCCACTAGTGGGGAGATTTCCTCGGTGGAAGGGTTTACCTGCTGTTGTTGTGCTTTTAACTGGCTTTCACTACTAGATAATGTTTGTTTTCTCACTGGCTGGCTAGCACTGGATTTTTGTGATTTTATTTGTTTTTCAAATAAGTGAGCCAGCTCAGTTAAATTAGCGGGTTTTTTTTCTACCAAGGTAGCAAACAAGTCGCAAACAATTTTTAGTCAGGTTAGAAGAAAGTGTTTCAATACTATTCGAACGAACGATATGCGGCTCCACTGCTTCTATTTTTCCATCCACGGCATCTCAAAACTCTTCAAACATACTTTCAAAAGAACTATGGGGGTCATAACGGAAGATAAATACTTCACTTTTAGGTTTATTATTCATAACTAACTTAATTTTTGTTGAAATTTACCAAACTTCTCAATGATTTTTTGGTAAAACATTTGCTGAGTATGTGAGCGGGATACCCAGGTAAAAAATTCCTGGTGACCATTTTCATGTCAACGAGGTCCTTTACCAGTATGGCTATCAAATAACACCCGCTCCTTCAGGATTATCCCGATTAAAGGCTAACCACTTAAAGTAATAAACTTGGGGGAATTCTGGCTTATCATTTAGTAATTTTAACAGCCTTACTTCAATAAAAATCTTTTTCCCGGAACTTATCAGGAATTCAGTTTGGCGGTGATATTTAGAGAGGACTTTTACCTCCATAAATACATTTTAGTCTCATGGTGGCTTATAAGAACTTTTACTTAGTCTTAAAAAATAAAAATAAAACCAAATATAAATAATAACGATAGAGTAAACCGCCAAGTAAAAACCGAGAAAAAAACCTAACAAAGTCAAAAAGAAACAGCAAAAAAGAGATTTAAAATTTAAGAAATTAGATAAAGAAACTAAATAAAAAGTTGGGAAAATTTAGCGAAGTAAAAAATTAGCACTAAATAGCCGAAGTAGCCAAGAAAAAAAATAAAGAAATTTGCGTTAATTTAGAGTCTGAAAATGGGCGGGGTGTCGGGGAAATTACGAGTATATTACGAAGTAATTGTCTAGCCTTTTTTACAAAAAGGATAGTTTCAAGTAGTTATAAAAAACTGCTTGGGCGATGATAAATATTCGCTAGCTGTAAAATTATAAATATAAAATATAATAAGAAACCCAATTAATAAGAAAAAAAGAACTAAAAATCAAGGTAATTCTTGCCAATTCTTTTATAGTTTTGGTTAAAAACAATTATTATGGTTAAAGATAAAGAATTCGAAAAATATCTCCAAGAAATTTCCGACCCTAAATATAACAGTTCAAGCATTACTATAAACTTCATTAGCATAAGTGGCATAATCGACTTGGTTTTTTTGGTCTTCGG